AAAATTAACAATGACTCAGAACAACACCAAATTAAGTTTGCATAGGCTTCAGAAGGTGGGCTAACGACTGCAAGCATTTAAAACAGGTTTCTAACAGTTTAAGACACTTTTACAGGAGCGAAAAAGGGACATCGTTAAGTGAAATTCCCCCATAGAGAACATCGTTAAACGATGGGGGAAATTCCTCAAAGAAACCCATCGCTGTGTGAATTCATCATTGTATGAAGCAATCGTTGTGCGAGGCACCACTGTATTTTTTAAACTTAACATGCTTTGATATTCTAGTTTCTTTAATTGGACTTTAACACAGCAAGCTTTTACCTGTACTTTTAAAAATCTATTTTATCTGTATTGTTTTTAATCCTGCTGTGAGTCTTTCCCAGTTTCAGGTGAAAGGTGAGCTATACATCAAATAAATAAATGCCTTTTTATATCAATCTGATAGTCCTACAGATGTCAATAGCAGTTGGATAGAATGGTGTCATTTATGACTTACGTTTAATATGGCTAACTCACACATGCATGTTCATGGCTCAAATGACTATGACAGGAAGTGATCAAGTAAGGTGAGATACAAGGCAAGCAAAGAGGAGATAGAGAAGCTTGAAGTTTTAATATACACTCAGGATATATGTTTTCAGTGTGTTAGTTTCCATAAATGAGGAAGGTTGTAGAACTGACTTTATTGTATATGCTGTGATTTATTATTATCATATTTTATATTTACTAAGCTACTTAGCGACAAGGACAACTATCCCTACCTTTGACCTATTTTTATGTTTCTGCCATCAATAAATGCAAACAGATGTCATTCTTTTACCCTGGTGAATGGAAGTTGTTGCTTCTATAGTCTGATAGATGCTCCATAAACAGTTGGAATTTACAGTCCTAGCAGCCGTTCAGTGCTTGTGAAATAAGTTTTTTTATTACTTTCCGGATGACTTTCTGTTTGTTGATAGTTAAGCCAGTCCTCTCCCTCCTACTTCTATGCTTTTAAATCTTTTCATCTTTGTTTTAATATCTTCAGTGTCCCCATTGTCCTTTCTAATGGCACTGATTCCCTGCCTCCAATTGTTATTGCAGTTTTTATCTCTGTTTTGTACAGATTTACTATTGTGGAGAATGTGCCAGCAACATCTTTTCCCACATTGTCAATATTCTCTCTTGAAGTATCAGTTACTTGAAGCAGAAACTAAGAGGGTTGCTTGCATTACTTACAGTCCTTGCTTTTGTTTTGTGGAATGATTTCTTAAAGAGCGGCCAGGTTGGAAGAAATAAAAATTATTCCTCTGTGCTTATTCTGAGCCAATACTTCCATATAGGCATGCAATTCCATCCACTCAAAGAGTCCTGCCAGCTCATATGCATATGTTTCTTTGCAAATGTCCACATGTCAAAATCCTCTGCAAACAGAAAATGAAGGCCTGATTTTCATAACCACTGGGTAAGGAGGTAGACTCTCTAGGGTAGCTCTTTGTACATAATCAAAACAGAGCTCATGTATCACCAGCAAGGAAGACAAAAAAGGGCATTATTTTGCATCAAACTGTGTATGCTAATTTATAAAGATAGGCATGTACTGACAAACTGGTGGTTTGTGCAGTTTAGTTCTTCAGCCAAACAGGTGTTTGGTGCTTCCTGCCCTGCCTCCTCTGGCTGCATCTGAGTGAATGCTTGCTGGAGGAGGCGAGGAAGCACCGGACATGTGCCTGGCCGAGAAACGAACTGGAACAAACCACCGGTTTGTGCCCATTTCCACTGATTTATATGTGCACATGCAAAAACGAAAGAATATTTTAATGATCTGAACAGAATTACCATGCATCCATTTGAATGGTGCAGGTGGTGATCACATATCCTGTGTGCTGGCTGAGTCTGCTGTCCAGATGCTCACTTCAAGGTCCCTGAAGAGCAACTTCAGGGTATGTGATCTCTTTCCTTATGGTTCTTCAGATCAGACTTGGGCTGGAAACCCCTTCAAATACAGTAGATGGTGGTTTTGAAAGGAAGTCTCAGCCCTCCAAATGGATGTCTGTCCTCTCTAAAATATGGCATGTGGCAACGGTAAAGATAAAAAATTAAAATACATCAAGATAGATAATTGGGATGTTAACTGAGAATTCCTGTTACAGCTTTTTACTCGGCACAGGAGATTTGTGTGTGTGTGTGTGTGTGTGTGTG